GTTGGGGTTTAATTGGGGGGGAATGAGGACACACTTGTAATACCTTAGCCAATAAAGAAATTAAAGATTAAAAAAAGATGTCAATATTTAAAAAAAAGCTTAAAAAAAACCAATCAAATAAAAAAATCAAATTAATATAATAAAACAGAGGACAATAAAGAGAGAACCTGGCTATGCTGATCAACTGAAAAAAAATAATGAAACATAACAATTGGCATAAAAGCAGCAATTAAGGAATCAGAAGTATGTGTACTTTTGGGGGGATTTGGCTAAGGAAGAGCCGGGGTGAGCAGGGCAGAGGCATCTGCTGGACTTGGCCTACAATGACCTCCTAGTGGTTGGCTTTTATCGCCATCTAGTGGCCACACAGCGGAACTGCCACAAATTCACAAAACACAGGAGGCGTTTGCCTGCCACCAACATTGACAGACGCAGGCTCCCACGTCAAGGCAAGATAACACGATATTCAGAGGAGGCGTTTGCATCCAGGAATGCGGGGTTACTGGTTTCTTGTAAATGCACAGACAGGAAAGGCAGGAAAAGGCAACTACTGTCCCAGGCGCTGGGCTTACCCTGCAGCTGATGGCGGCGATGCTTCCTCGCACAACGAGAGAACATTTTTTTATTCTAAAAAAGAGAGCGAGTTCTGGCTGGGTCGCTTGGTTAGAGTGTCGACCCCATACGCCAAGGTTGTGGGCTCCATTCCCCCATCAGGGCACTTGCGAGAATCAACCAGTGCATGCATGAGTGGGTGCAACAACACACCGATGCTGCTCTCTCCCCTCTCTCTCTCTCTCAAATCAATAAGTTAAAGAAAAGGAAGGGCCCTAACCGGTTTGGCTCAGTGGATAGAGCATCAGCCTGTGGACTCAAGGGTCCCGGGTTCGATTCCGGTCAAGGGCATGTACCTTGGTTGCGGGCACATCCCCAGTGGGGGGTGTGCAGGAGGCAGCTGATCGATGTTTCTCTCTCATTGATGTTTCTAGCTCTCTATCCCTCTCCCTTCCTCTCTGTAAAAAGTCAATAAGATATATTTTTTTTAAAAAGAAAAAGAAGGAATGGAAGAGAGAAAGAGCGAGTCCCGGCTGGACAGCTCAGTTGGTTACAGCATCGTCCCCATGGCCCAAGGTTCTTTCTAAAATCTTTATTGTTGAAGGTATCAGCTGCGTCTTCCTTCCTCCCCGCCACTCACCTCTTCCAGCCGCTCCCGTCCCCCCTCCTCTACACCAAAGTTTTAGGTGTGATTCCTGGTCAGAGCACATACAAGCAGCAACCAATGAACGCACAGGTCAGTGGAACAACAAACCCATGTTTTAAAAAAATATGTTTTTCTATTGATTTTTTTGAGAGGACGGGAGAGAGAGAGATAGAAACATCAATGAGAGAGAGAATCATCTGCCGATCGGCTGCCTCCCGCACACCCCGCCCTGGGGACTGAGCCCAAGATTCAGGCGTGATGAGCCTGTGGCCTCGGTGCATGGGAGGATGTTTTTTTTTCCCCCTCAAAATCAAATAATAAAAAATAAAAAAGAGCAAGGACAGAAAAAAGGGAATAAGGAAATCAATTGTGTTATTGAGAGCAGGGGCCGTTCTGTTAACACCCCCAACCTCCTCCCCCCACACTCTCCAGCCCGCTGATTTAGCTAAAATTTGAGATCCCCCTGATTTAGACCCTTGGTTCTATGCCAGCCGCGATGCTGCCCCCTGGTGGGCATTTTGGGGGATGTCTTGGGACTTTGTGTTGCTAATTATCACAGGAGGATATTTCCCCCCCATGACTTTTCAGAGTGGAAGGGAGGGAGGAAGGGAGGGGAGAGGGAGAGAGAGAGAGAGAGAGAGAGAGAGAGAGAGGTGAGAGAGGCATATTGATTGATAGGTTGCCTCCTGCATGGTCCCAGAAAGGGGGGAGGGCTGGAGGAGGGGATCAAACCTGCAACCCAGGTACGTGCCCTTGACCAGGAATGGAACCCGAGACCCTTCAATGCCTGGCCGGCACCCTAACCACTGGGCCACCGGCCAGGGCTGGAGACCTTTCTGGGTGTCACAGGTAACCTGGGAGGGTCCGTGCGAGGGCAGAGGCCAGGACGCAGGACATCCTCCCACGACGAGGGATGACCAGCCCCAGATGCCCAGGGCGTCCAGCTGAGAAAGGCCACCCTTTCGTGTGGCATTCACCTCCTCGCTCCAGCCCACTCAGCCGTCTCACCTCTTCCCACTTTGCCATCCCAGGACCCTCCTCCGTGTGCCCGACCCTCAAAATATTTAGCAAGCCGTAGGGCACTGAGTGAGCCCAGTGGGGCACTGGCCCATCACACGGAACCTCCCTGGCCTGCGCCTTCCCATCACCCACCAGCCTGCCTTGTGACCTTTGCCCAATCATAAACACGTCTCGGATTTATACTTTTTAAAAATATATATCTTTTCTTGATTTTTTACAGAGAGGAAGAGAGAGGGATAGAGAGTTAGAAACATCAGTGAGAGAGAAACATCCATCAGCTGCCTCCTGCACACCCCCTACTGGGGATGTGCCCGCAACCAAGGTACACGCGCTTAACGGAATCGAACCCGGGACCTTTCAGTCCGCAGGCTGATGCTCTATCCACTGAGCCAAACCGGTTAGGGCGGATTTATACTTTTTAAAAATATATTTTTATTGATCTCAGGGAGGAAGGGAGAGGGAGAGGGAGAGGGAGAGAGAGAAACATCAATGATGAGAGAGATTCATGGATCGACTGCCTCCTGCACACCCCCGTACTGGGAATGGAGCCCGAAACCCAGGCATGTGCTCTGACCGGGCATCAAACCGTGACCTCCTGGCTCACAGGTTGACGCTCGACCACTGAGCCACGCCAGCCGGGCTGTAACTTTTTAATTATTTAAAAACTTTCCAGTGACAGTGACATTCAATATTATATTAGTTTCAGGTGTCAGAACAGCGAGGAGGCATTTATGTAACTGACAAAGCGATTCCCCGGATCTTCGCAGCCCCCACCTGGGCCCGTACACCGTTATCACAGGATCACTGACTGCATTCCCTGTGCTGTACTTTCCAGCCCCTGGCTGTTTTGTAACCACCGATTTGTACTTCTTAATCCCTTCCCCTCTTTCACTCTGCCCCCCAAAGCCCCCACCCATCCGGCAACAGCAGTTTATTCTCTGTTCAGATTTATCATTAAAAGAATCGGGGTGCCCCACAGCCACGTGCAGGGGAACGGCGGTGGACGATGGGGGGGGGGAACCGGATGGCGCCACCCAGGCCTCTGGACCTCAGCATGGACACCTGGAGCTGCTGGCAGCTGTCCCAGGTGGACACGTCAAACACGCCGAGAGATGCATGGGCTCCGGGTAGGGCTGCCGGATACCATGCGGGATTCCAGTCACATTTGCATTCCAGACAAACAGCACGCCCGTTTTTAGTCTAAGTATGTCGCAAACCTGGCATGAGACATACTTACATTAAACAATTAGTTTTGGGTCCGGTCGGCGTGGCTCAGTGGGTGAGCGTCGACCTCTGCACCAGGAGGTCACGGTTCGATTCCCAGTCGGGGCACATGCCCGGGTTGCAGGCTCGGTCCCCAGTGTGGGGCGTGCAGGAGGCAGGCAATCAGTGATTCTCTCTCATCATTGATGTTTCTCT